CTGTGATGAGAAGTCAACGTATCTGATGCTGTTTTTTGGCACTGAATTTAAACAGTAGCGACCTATTCTTAGGCGTGCAGGGTAAATTTCCCAAGTTTTCAAATGGGTAAAATCTAAGATAACTAAATTACGACTCAATTGTTACCTCTCCTGGGCATTTTGCTATATTGTTTGTACCCTTGAACTTAGGGGTTCTATACAAATTTGCGCTAGGGTATCCCTAAAAAGTTGGATACAAATAAAATGATCTACATGCTCACCCTTTACACGTGGAGTTGTCTAATTACCAAGATAAAGGGGATCGAGTCTCGAATCTCTTTTACGTCCTGTTCCCAAAACTGATGGCGACAATTTCAGGTTATCTTAAGACGATCGGAAACAGAGTAATTTCCGTTTGAAGTCGGATCTATCGTTAGAATTCAATTGAAAGCTTGGGATACGATCGCGGCCACCGTCAGTCTTCCGAGGAAAGTATTTAATTGAAAGTTGCTGGACTTAATTTTAAACAAATGGGGAAGAGAAGACGTGGCGGTATTCTAATTTTTCGAAGACGCACGCGGATAATTTTATACGACATCGTAATATAATGAAGTAGAGCTGATATTGATGTAAATGCCCGTCGAATATTCGATGCAGTACGGCGCAGCAGCTGTCTGCCGAATTTCCATAAAATGGCGCCATACGGCGTGACATGTTAACGAATACAAGGGAAACAAAATATATAAACGGATTAGTTTCCATATTCATTTATTTATACCTATTATATAATTATATTAGTATTCACGAAAAAACGTACATACACACAAATACAGTACAGTAATAGGTATATTTTGTTTTCATGTAACAATAAGGTAATTATAGTCTAAAGATGTAACAAGATATACAGAGCTTTTGAATTCGTGAGCCGCGGGCTCAGGGCGGCTCTCGAATTCACCACGCGGGGCGCCACGTAGCCGCCGGCTGGGATTCTGGAGTGGAACCCCGGACGTCGGCCGGCGAACAGTCAATAGCACCATAGTTTCGTTGCAAAAGTTTGTCAGGAGTCGGGGGCAATCCCCGCGGGCTCATGGAAGACTGCCGCTGGAGACCTCGCCAAGGCAATGTCAATAACTTGCGATGGTCTACCGGAGGGCGTACAATAGTTTGGCGCTTTACGCCGTTAGAAATTTATATGATAAATTGGTGTCTAAACTATTATAATATAATAACGCATTTTTCTTGTATGTACTCGCATTCGCACCAACACTTAGATATAATAATCATAATAATAATAATGTCATTTACATAACTTTTAGGTACCTATATAATTTAGAAGAAAAGAAACGTCTAAACATTGATGACTTTTAAAACACGTACAATAGGATCTGTTGTTTTTTAGATAAAATTATTTAAGATAAATTCCAGAATGAAAGCGTTATGTTATCACAGTGGTAGTCATTGCTCCATATTTATTATTACAGTAAAAGTATTCTTTATATTATAATATATTACATAGCTACTGGTAAAAGCGCTTTCGACGAACTGCTTTCCAACAGTTCGCAAACGCAGGACGTCACGGACGTCTTATGAAAGATAATGTAACAACGCAGTATTAATGATATTGCGATAGTATTGTACACGTGAAGGTGAGATGACGATTGTCGAAAATCAGTTCCGATAGAGAGCGCTGGGTGCACTTCGGTACTGCGCGGTGCGTATGCGCCTGCTCACGCACTCGTAGCAGCACACGTAGGCTAAACATCACTTAAACAGTATACGTCTAAACGCCCTTCGGAAATCCTTATTGAATATCGTGTAAATTACAGGATTAAGAGCCGAATTCATATAGCCTAACCAAAAAGCGGTCGCAAAGGCTATACCCGGAATATCGTACGCTAATCGTAAAATGTACATAAAGAAAAATGGGAGCCAACACGCAATAAATGAACCCATTATAAGACCTAAAATTAGTGTCGCCCGTTTCTCCTTCTTTCTCGCTATTCGTCGCTTTTCGCGCTCCGGATCACGGGGTTTTTGCACTCGCGGCACCACCTGTTCAACACTTTTTGTACTTTTTGCCGGTTTACTTTCTTCACTACGGCGGCTTTTCGCAGTCCGCCGACCGAAGATTGGTCTACACAATCGGAGTTTTAAAGGTTTCACTACGGCACAACGTGACACTACACCGGAATCCGAGCTGCTCGGATCAAACTCACTAACCATGTCTGTATCTATACCTACGGATGGCTGCCGGGCACGTGCTGCTGCGGCTGCCTGCTGCTGAAGTTCTCCGTTGACGGAGAGTGTGGACCCTCTATACTGGCACTGCGATATGGGATTTCTTCCTACTTGGGCGGTTGTAAATACCTGGAAAACCAAGAAACATTAGACTCATCGACTATCTTGTGATCGCAACACGTACAAAGCTCAGTATACTATAATGTACACGATTTTCAGTATTTTTTTGAATGTAAAAGAGGATATTTACAAAAGTTATCCTAAAATATTAAATTTCAACCGAGTCACTAGCACCCAGTTGAGTAAAGATTTTAGCCACCATTTTGTCTAAAAAATTGCAACTTCAGATTCAGGAAAGGCCTTTTCAATTACGTGTTACCTCATTTAAAAAGACGATATCGTTGACCGACAATATCGCTGTTTTGTTTTTAAAGGAACATTCTTGTAATAACTGTTTCAATCAGTTTTTGAAATTTTACTTGCAGTAGACGTTAATCCTATTGTTGTATATGTTTAACAAGCAAATCTACAGTTAGCATCTATTTTATTTGGACATTCTTAACTTATCACCGTTTTATGCATTTAACATTAATGTACCACCGGATGCGAATTATTGGAACAAGCGTATTTCTTAACCCCCCTAGAGAAAAAGTCGAATGTGTGTCATTATCCTTTTTTCACATAGGCTCGCCGAGAGAGCTGGTCACAGACTGGGATCAGGTGTTCTGTGACTGACATCCCCTTCTGGGGAGAAGTATAGGTGAGCATGTATACTTTTGATCAATCGCATGAGATACTTCAAGCTTTTGTTGTGGGGTCTGTGTTGACATTTAAATTTACGAATTTGTATGGGAAATGGCAATGTTTTACGGTAGATATCCCACGAAAACTGTATAAATCAAAGAAGGTAGTTTCTAAGTACACCACTAAACCTAAAACGTACAGCTTTACTAAGAAGTGGAGCGAAACGAAAATTATGCAGCTTTGTTACATTATTGTTAGCGACCGTTTCTTTAAGAGAACTGTGAAAAACTAGTTGCTATTGTGCCAAAAACGTAAAGGATACATGAACTAGTAAAAAAATCCAACCTCACGTAGGTTCAGCAAGTGCGACCTACCCGTCTAACTGCGAATTTATGGAAAACTTTAATTTATTATGCACAACCGGAATACATCTGCTATTGCGTATTTCCCAAACGATCCTTGTTTTTGGGCTGTACCTAACTTTTTGTTCCTATAGCCTACGTAACTGAAAAACAATAGCGACCATTTTTAATTTTGAAAGCGATAGGACGTTTCTAAACAGTTATCGTGCACAGAGACAGACAGACAAGCGGACAGCAATACAAAATTATAAACGAGGATCGTTAATAAATGGTATATAGCGTATTGCAGATAGACAGACTAACATATACACGAAACTATAAGCGCTTTCATGGGAGACTCGAAAAAATGTGACCCCCGTGGGTTTTAGTAACGAAGATCACGTCACACCTCTCTTACACGATAGTCGCATATACGATAGTTTTGTGACCATGGTAATTAGTTTAAAAAACAGGTTTCACCGATGAGAAAACATAATATATGATATATAATATATATAATACAATCATATAATGATAATTAGCGAATTAGTACTAATTATTTTTGCCCCGTTTGGGTGATATCCTTGGTTATATGCTATCACATACAATTAATTTATTAACAATACCTATTTATTATCTTTGCGATCTTGGTTAAGTTATGATCGAGTTAGGCACGCGAATGTTATTGTAGACCCCACTTCCCTCTGGAGAGGTTGGCCGATTAAGTAACGTACCTGTGGTAGATGCTTACTACGAGTAAAGCGAGACCCTCAGGCACTAGTCAATTAATTTTTTGTTTAAAGTAAGGTAAGAGTTGCCTTTTTTTGTTTTACTTGTACTTGGCCTATGCGAATTGTTGCCCGGAATATCAAATTTCTCTGTGGATACTTGTGTCAAGATTCAGTAATTATTTTGGTAATCGATCATTCTTGATTAGAGGTTTGTGGAACTAGAAAAATTGTGTAGTAGATTTGTGTGTAACGCGACTTATAATCACGCTATCCCATTGTGGAGTTTATTTGTGAGTTGACACAGGGTGAATAAACTAGTATTTTGTTTGGTGCCTGAATTGAGGTGTTCTATTATTACTACCCTCGTATCTTCTCAACTTCATACGAGGGGAGTTAAGTTAGAAATTGAGTGGCGCTCAACCCTTGATACGAAGTAACGAAGTTCATTTTACCGCTGTGGAGGATTCTCAAGCTCTTAATTTGTGTTCAACCTTGAGCTAGTTGGCCGTTTATGCGGCGGGTTTAAGGAAACGCAGCGCCAACTCTACCTATCCGTTATAATTTTGGTATAAATAACAGAGGAAGACGGTAATGGTGGCTTGTTCATTTGTGGACGTTAATCCTTGTTTGGTTTGTTTGTGAACGTAGCCGCTTATTGTTTTGGTGATTGTCAGTTTTGTCGTATTTGAGCGCCTTATTGCAAGACAGTCCGTCTTGCCAGCTGTAAAGTTTTGCGAAGAACTTCTTTGAGTGCTCTAAGAGATTTTGCTTACGTAAAATGTTTAAGCCGAATTAAAGAAGCGAAGTTTAAGAAAATAGTTTGTGTCTCTCGTGTGTTTATCGCTTATGTGAAACCTTTCTATAAGATCTTCAAGTATAAGTTAGAGGAAGTTTTTCCACTATCAAAGAGCCAAGATTACAACGAACCGTGTCGTGTTTGTGTGTTTTGGCATCACTTAATGAACCGTGCAATTAAGGTAAGTTCTTTAATTAATTACTTCAATAGATCATTTATTACGTGGTATGCGTACTTTGGCCCTTAGTACCTATTGTTATTTAATCCTTATTGATTGATTTTGTCTAATAAATTTGTTTCGTCTATAAATGTTGTATAGTCCGAATTAGTCCGAAAGTAGCCTGCAGCACAAGTTTATCGTTTAACAAAAAAAGGGCGTTTACGCTATTTCGAATTTTCGTTCGCTATTTGGAATTAGTAGGATGAACGTTTGTTTTCCAATTTTTACTAAATATGTATATTGCGTCACACATTCCGTAATACAAAAGGAAGAACTGAGACGCTTTTGAGCAGAATCGCGCATGGGCAAATGTGTCAAACGCTGTCAATTTTCCTCATTTTTCCAAATTATGGCTAAACTATTGGATCGTGCGGGTAGTAGCTATCTATGCTAACAACAGCAAATTATTATAAAAGTAATCGTAGTGATTTTACGGTTTCAAAGGATGGCATACACGAGAACAATGTGGGTATATTTACAAATTAGAGTTGCACATCGTAGCACTAACCCAGCAGAAAAGCACGAATTAGCAAAAGACCGTCAGAACTATACTAACAAAATGTTCCATATCAGCTAGAACGCTGGGAGGTACCTTTTCGTTCGGATTGACCTACGACAAGAAGGTCAATGTTGAGTGTATACTACTAATGGGCGTTTTAGGGTGAACTTTCTCAAATAGGGAATACTTTGGAAATTATATTTACATAAAACACGTCAAATTTAGTTTAATTCCAGTGATGTAACTTGTTTTAACAGAAAGGAACAGTGACTTTCTCTTACAAAGGGTTGTTTTAACCGTTACCTAGAATTTTGCAAGTGCATCTGAAGTTTTCATGTTTAAACAAAAAAGGGGGTAGGAATATACGATGATCCTAAAATCAGTTCCGTACTTCAAAGTTTCGCGCCGGAAATTCAGTGATGATTTATTAAACCACAGAAAAGCATTACATCTCTCAAACCTGTGACAGTAGTTGACCAAGACTTAAAGCATCTATTTTAATGGGAAACAGTCAGGCGTACATCATGCATTAGGACACAAAAAGTATATACAAGTGTTTCGATTAGTTGAGGTTTGGACACACATTGCGGTAACTAAAAGGGGGCACATTAAGCGGTCGACGATTTCAGCATAAAATCTCAAAACAACTTACATGTGCGGGACTTAATTCCAACATGTCTCCAGGGGGACTGCCGGTGGGTCGATGAGATTCAATCACGTCCTGATCGAGAAAAATAAAAGAATTTCCTTAACAAACAATTACAAAATTTAATTACACAACAATAACCGATCGAACTCCGCCGGTTTTTTGATGCGCGATTTATACGAAACGAGCACACAATGCATTACGTACTTCAATAAAAGAGAATGAGAAGAGCACACTGTGAAATAAAATGCCAATATATGAGAAATTTCGCAAAATAGCAAAAATAAGGTATTTCGTCAATACGTAGTGGAATTCATTGAAGTAAAAAAGGGCGTTTAATAAAAAGTTCTCGACACTACGCTATATTCCAAATTCAATCTTAAAACTGTTATCATTTTAAAATCTACGCCAATCTATCGATTCGATAACAAAAATATTACCTCATCTTTAACTTATCTCGCTTATTGCCTTCTTTGACAAAAGACACGATCTTGATATTAAAGAATTTGCGGAAAGGCTTTTCAGAATTTCTTTCTATCAATTTTTTATTTTTCTCGTTCCAAATAAAAAAGCGCGCAAGTTTTTATACGTATTCTTGCCGCCAATATTTTGTTTTCCGTTAAGAGAATGATTAAAAGAGTAGAAATAAATTTACACAAAAAGTTTTTGCGACATTTACGTGACGGGGTTGTTTGCGTTTCAGAAGTTGGCTTTAAAAATTACATCCATCATTGAGTAAACGCGATGAAACCAAATGAGGGCGATTGGATAATTCTCATTCGCTGATTTGTTTTCGAATAATTTACAATTTTTTATGCGGTTCACTAGCTGCACCGTTTACATTTTTCATTTTGAAATGGGCGGGAGTAGATATAAGACCTAAAGTACTAAAGAGTTTAGAACAGCTGTAAGTATGATAAGAAGATCTGTAACTTCTTCCCAGAGATTTAGATATTATAGCGCATTCGCACTTCCAGATGAAGAATGGGGTCTTGTGGATTAAATACTTTTCTTCTTAATTTGCGCCATTCTTCTATAACGCGATCCTTGTTCCTCACCGCAATTATGCCAAACTGACATATGATTGAATTGAATTAAACAGTACATGTTTGCCAAACGTGACAATAATCTCCTTGTGCTGTCATTGTTACGTTTAGCAAACATGTACTGTGTCTGTATGTCCATAAGCACCATACAGCATACTGGAACTGGAGGTGCGAACGCGCTATAGTGCATTGTTGCCCAGGGTCCAAACGTTAATCCTCTGAAGAAATTAAACATGAATTTCTCGAAATTTTTGCGGAATTTCGTTTTGCGATCTCTTTTTGGTGTCAAAACCATCCAAAAAGTCGCTCGCCACGATTTTTTTTAAAGAAAAGTAGAATATTCAATCATTTGTGACATTACTTCGGAGAATTCGTCTCTGCGATCGTATTTTTATTTGCCCATTTCATAATGGTGTCTTGTACTTAGTAAACCGATTCAATAAATTTACTTGTACTTTTTTGTAGGTTGAGTTTCATTGAATAACGCATATTTTTTCAGTGTATTTCAGTGATATTGAACCGGGGCTATCTTTATTGACGTATATGTGCAAACTGTGCAGTAGAATGCCTTCAACAAGCCTGTTTCAAGTGTACAATTTACCTACACTGTAGCGAATATTCCAGAAATCCCGATAGACATTGAGGCGCCCTGAAAGATTAGTCATCGGCGATAAAGAACGAAAGCGAATGTGACATAATCTTCCTAAAAATATGACGTGTTTGTTCGAGAACATTCTGAAGTATCCTTGAGCACTCGAGAACATTCTAACAACATTCTAGAAATAATGCTGTTTGCTATATAAGCAAATCGAAACCTACTTAAGACAGTTCGAGGCCGCCTGCAGCGCCAATTAAATGGACAGTAGAATAGAAAGCAACATTCTTGATAGTTGCGTTACGTATAGATGCACTTGACATTTTGCGTACGATTCCAGAACACTAGCAATAAGATAATGCACAAATTGTATCACGGTTAGAAGCTCGATATGGACATCAACATTATTTTACGCCCAACTAAAGAATAGAACTCGAAGGTCGGGCGAACTTTGCAAGAACTCGAAGCCGATATAGTCGGGTTGATAAGCTTGGAGTATCCCACTGCTGCAGAAAGATCTATAGAGCAGCTGTCGGTGCAGAAATTATCTATGGTGTTCGGGATGTGGAAACGCAAAAAACTTTGAAACTTGCATGAAAAATTGGAAAACGCGCATGCCCTGATTGATTCTTCAAGGAAAACCTCTCGTGGTATTGCTCGCGTGTACACCAGCGATACAGAAGAAAAGAACGGGGGTATTTTTGTTTGTACAACGCCCCCGCGCTCATCTTCTCAAAAATAGGTCAAATGGAGAATGGAATAACGGTGGATGCAGACAAAGTTCATATTATTGAATTATACGAGGAACAGACGGACGGACAAAACGATCACATATCGGGAAGAAAACACTACGAAAATACGGATTTCAAATTGTAAACCCTTAAGTGAATTGTGCCCCTATATCCAGCTTCGGTGTATTTGTTATTCGCTGTTAGCGAATAATTAACTTCAGTTCTTAGGCTCCTATTCATTTTATGTTTGTTTTATTACTTTTAGTCGTCATGATTCTTAGTCGCTGATATTATTTATATTAAAGGGTTTGTGGGAGAGGTTTAATGCTTTTAATTTCGATTCCAGTAACGAGCATTCCCCACAGCTATTCGTTCAATAATGAGATTTTCCACTTTGAGTTGAATGAGTAAGGCACTGTTTTGCTGGGTAATGTTATTCTGTAATTTAACAGATATTAAGTTAATTATGAGACAAAGGGGTTGAGAACTTTTACTTCGGCTATACTCGCAATTTCCTAAAGATAATCATATCTAAAAATTCAATTGGTAAAATTATGCAAAACATTATTATTCTCCTCTTGCGCAAATAGACCTTTTTTACTTCAATAATTAAAATTGTTCGATTACAATGAAGTGCTCGGCGATTACACTTCAAGATTGGCGCCGTTCTTAATTGAAAACTTGTTTTGCATATTTCAATTAAATTTCTTTGTCATTTTGAAAGAAAGCAGGACTCGCTCTTTCGAACTGCGTTTGCTGTATTGAAATCACCAAAAAAAAAGAATCGATTATAATAACACTAAAATAGATACCCACGCCACGTAATGTAAAAAGAAGGATTATATTCAAAACCGAAACTGCTCAAATTACCATAATGTGTTGTCGCAATTTTCGCCCCCCCTCCCCCTTTATCGCCGACTCAATTCAGAAATTGAGCCAAAATTATCACTGTTTAGACCTGAGACTAATTGGAATTTCTAAGCTCCAATTCAAAAGGAGTTAACAGATATAACCCTGCAGGTCTATTTGCAAGTAGGTAGTATCATCTACTCCGTTTATCATTGCTCATTACAAGGTCTCTCAGAAAAACATAAAAGCGATACAATTTGACGCTAATAGTGATATTTTATTACTGTACGTTTCTTAGTTATTTACATATTTATTGTTATTGTATTTATGTGTAATTTTTGATATACATTTTATCTTATTATTAGTGTTACCACACATTGTAATTGACGGATTCTATATCCAATATGCGGACTAATAAATTATTACTGTTCTTGATTCACAAAACTTCATTTGGTTTAATCTAGTAGGTTATTTCTAACCAATCGCGCGGAGATGTGGGCCGATGATATATTGTTGGAGTCTTCTCAAAGAGTTGGTGAGGAACCCTTATTTGAAATTTTAAACTGTTTTTAATTGTGTATTATTCTTTTTTATCTATGCATTGTACTAATTTATTATATTATTATTTTTTTTATTTTTTTTTTTAAATAAATATTATATTATATAGCATCTTTGGGTGAAAACCGAATGTATTCCGTTCCATAGTTAACAAGCGTGGCTCGTTTTAGACACACAATTAAACCCATTAACACACATGATTTTAACTTTCCAGTCTCCAAACGGATAGGTAACCGTAATCCTAACAATTTTAACACAAAATTATAATGTATCATTGAACCTTTCAGGAAGGTTGAATCCATGTTGTAGATGAAATCTGAAGATGAGATTCAATTTCATTCTTCATTACGGAGTATTTTTTAAATTAGTTTTCTGGAAACGGATCCATTGAAGTCATAACACCCTGTACGAAAAGGTAAATTTCAGAAGAAGTGGAACAACGATTTGTATTCATTGTTACCGTAACACTTTCTGAGGGTGCTCACTTTGGTTGCATGTAGCCTTTATATCTAGCGTTCTATGGAAATTCTGATAACAGATTCAGATTCTCTGAAAAAAAAGTGCACATGGAAGGTGCTAGAGCTAGCGGGACTGTTCATTTCCAACAGTTTAAACTAAAGAAAGTGATAAAGAAATTTGACATTTTCAGTTTTTCGGTGATAAAAGATTTTTTTTGTAAAGAAAAGGGCAACACCCCCATTTAGGTAACACTGTATCTCTCACCGTTAAGTAGATCTCAATGGTGAGCCACGAATTTGAACCACCCTATACATCGATCGCTTAGTTTATAGAAATTATTTTTGAATGTACAGGGTGTCCCATTTTTAAGGTGTAAATAAAAACTGATTTTAAAAAAAACCTGTATAGTTTTAATTGTTTCAATGGCACTTGTTAACCCCTACATTGAAACCCATTTACTATTTTATTTTTTATCAATGTTGCCATCTTATCAATTTTTTTTAAATAGTTTCCCATTTATAAGCCCCACTTTCGTGAATCATAGGGACTTTTTTGAAGCTAAGAAATAAAATTTTAGGAATAATGTTAATTCGAGAAAAGGGTAACACTTTGATAATGAGAAAGTTTGATTTACTGATACAGGGTGTTCACAAGGAAATTGTAAAATTTTGGCAAAATGTTATAACTTGTTTTTTTAAAATGGAACTACCACTATTTTATTTCGCTACTTGCTAGCCTTTTATATTCTCTTCAATTGTTGTAAGAGACGTGCTGTGTTTAAACCACGTGTGTATAGGTTATTCAATGTTTCTCACAAAAGAACCTACCCATTAGTTAATTACTGGCGGCAAATTTTTGAAGGGCCTAGGGGTGGACCAGCATTAAATCCGACCTCGGATATACCTTTCTCTAGGATTTTGTCGGAAAAAAATCTCATTACCTATTCTCGAAAGCTTATTGTCTCTTAAATCCCAATCACTTTTTATTTTTCCACAGCTATCTCCACGTCATGTCATATGCATTTTCTATTATGTGAGAAACCCGCAACCGCACGTTATCTACGCGAAGAATCCCAAAAAATGGTTTCCTGCCCATGAACCAAAAGGTTTATTTTTGATTTATGCTTATCGTATCCTGCTTGGCTGTGCAGGTATCCCATTTTTTCCAAGCACCAGAAAAGCCTAGTAGTGACCATACGTTCCAACACTTTTCCTAGACAAGCTGTTGAATAATTAGGTCTCTTGCGCGAAATTACACAGATGATACTTTTTATTTCACAATAACGCGAGGTACTTAAATGCGAAAGCCCAACGAAATCCATACCTGTCTTTAACTGATACTCGAAATTGATTGAACATTCTTCTTTAGCTTCTAACGTAATCAGCCGCGAGCTGGACGAAATCAAACTCTCTATCTCTTCCAACAAAACGACGATGGACACTGGCAAACAAACTTCTAACAATTCGAACCGAAGAACTTCGAAAACTTTATACGATAAAAAATGCGGCTACCGCCAAACTGACAAAAAGCATCTTCTTTTCTGCGCCTATCCTAGATTTAAATTGAAATCCCACTTAAATTTCAAAAAAGTTGGACAGCCAATAAAACTAGCTAGCAACGAATACTGGCCAATACAGGATCCCTGGATACCGCACGTATACACTTAATTTTACGAGATAAACTTATATAATTCTAACGATTTCTACCAAGAAAATACAATTTTTTTAATGATTAAAGTAACCACCCCCGAAAAAATTATCTTTATCTCTCACAAATAAAAGAACAACCTAATAAATCAAGTTAAACTGTCACAATGTCACATTTTGACTTGATAACAAATAATAATGAAAGATATAACCTTGACTAGACGTTCGTATTGAAAAATTGTTTTGTGTAAGACGTAACTAGACCCACGAACATCAAACAGAGAACACAAAATTTTGATGACCTTAATTAATGATTAAACACCCTATATAGTTCATTGTAATGTCCCAAATTCGAATACAGCGTCCCAACGGACGTTGTTTACACAACAGTAGCATGGACTTATAGGAATCTGTCTAATTTTTGAGTACATCGTACATTATATGATAAGAAGGACATTCAATAAGATGAGAATCTGCCACATTTTAATGCATTATTATGAAAGTGGCATTCGACGCGCTAGGTTTTTTTGCTGCAAAAAGGACTCGTTCTAATTGGTTGTTAAAATATATGTTATGATTCTCTTTTCTGTTCCAGAATAGTTCGCTTAGTGGCAGCCCTGGTTCTCTTGACAGTTAGTTTCCTTTAGAAGTGCGTGGTGTTCTTTCTGTGGCAGAGACTACGTTTGGTACTACAATACACAACCAATGTACCCTGCTCTTAACAGATCATAAACTACTGACTCGATTATTTCCTTACTACCTAGTGGTTCGTAAGCGGCTGATGTGGTTTAAGTGGAATTTGGCACGGACAATAGGAAAATGGACGTTAGACTGTCCATTAGGAAGTAGTTTCCGAGCGGACTCAGATCATCCTTAAGATCGATCGCTGAGATGTCTCCGGTCCTAACACAAAAATGTCTTTTCCTCCGTGATCAAGAGGGCCCACTGATTCGTCTAAATTACGTTTTTTGACCATACCAGATCTATCTGTAATGCGTGATTTCCATTAAGTGCTATGCGCGTTAAAACCGCCTATGAAAATATTGGCCCAACCTTTGTATACCATTGGTAAGTCAGTGATATCAGGAAGTATATCACGAAGAGGAATGTGTTCGTGACTCGCTATATGTTTCTAAATAATTATTTATTAAAAGTACAGCAATTTGAGTCCTATTCTAAATAAAATTTTTTGCCCAAATAGCGCAATTTTCCTACAGCTGGTTACATTTCTACAATATTGTTCTATTATCTGCAATTAACGGAAATATGAACGCCTTCTAGGCAATTACAAACTCTAATTACAAAATTCACCGTAGGAAGAGATTATCGTTAACGAAAATAGTTTTAAACAAACTTTGATGAAGGTTTAGCGTGTGCATCACAGCTTTCATTGTATATTATACTGAGAATCTCGCATTTAACCCGAATATTCTTGCGATATCAGCATACGATTCCATATGATAGGTATTATATCGCCCTAAAAGCTTGATTAAATCGAATTTAACGTCCATTTTATTTTTTTTGCGTTCCATTAGATACAGCCGGATGATTTGAATATTTCCAATAGGTATTCCATAAAACAAAACGTTTTGTATTCTAAGAAGCCGTACTACATAAAACGATAGGTAATCAATAAAATTAATTTAAACGAAATAAAAGAAGGGTGGCGGCGTCATCGCCGTCGGTTGGTACACGCCGGACGTATTTTAGAAAAAAATTGACCATAAACTTTCTACGCCTTTCCTTTTTATTTTCAATTCGGCTTTCCCTTTATGTTTTAATAAATTTTTCAATGTCTGAATGCGTATACTTTTTAATCGCGAAAGCTGTACGAAAACAGATTATTTATTACTACTTGCAAAAATGATCGTTTCAAAGTTATTTTAGAAACTTTCATAAAAACGTTTTTATACCGTTTAATAACCACTAAATCGGGTTATTTCCAAAGGGCGGTTTTCATTTACTCAGCAATTCAAAGCAGCTTCTCACTCCTTTTATATAAAGTAGTTTAATACTTCCTTTTACAGAAACGCGTGTAGAGTATAATTAATGCGAACGATGAAATTTGGCACGAGTTTATAAACTGTTGAAATCTGCTATGATGCGATAAGTTTTGTAATTTCGCACTGTATATGCCTACGTTTCGGTTAATATTCATCCTCTAACTCTTTCTTATTGCAGGAAACGTAAGAATGCAAAAATCGCTTTGAAGTAATTTAATTTAGCATATTGAATAGAATTCGGTTCAGAGCAAGACAGGGGCAAAACTGATTTTCATTAAAATTTTACCTCATTCAATTAACTACCTATACTTTTAACTTCGACCGCTTAAAACTTCTGCTTTTTTTTCGTCAGCGTGCATAAATCACTTAATTTATTTGCGGGGCTTTGATGAAAAGAGACGTTGAAAAAATATCGCAATTTGTTAGGACTAACCTTTAAGGTATCTTTTTGCTCCATGCCCTCCGTAGGAATCTCGCCCGCATCGCTTGTTGAAATATCGGAAGCTAAATCACAAGTGACTGTAGGAATGATCATTGGTTGGGGGTGTGATTCTATAGTGGCGATTTGTCTTTCGCCGTCACGAGGCGATGTGTTACTATTACGATCGAGAGACCCACTAGCCGGAACATCCGCTCCATTTTTTGATTCCCCAGGCACGTTTGAAAAGCTGGTTACGGCATCATGTGGTGGACGTCGGGGCGGTTTTTTTATTCCCCTTCTGGCGCGAGCTTTCGCCGCGAAGTATATCCGGATATACACGAACACCATTATACAGGAAGGGATGTAGAAGGAACCTAACGCCGAATACAGCACGTATCCAATTTCTTCACTTAACTGAAAGCAAAAAAGAGACTTATTTTAGTATGACCACTATAATTGCGTCTCACAACAGTTAATTAAACTAAACGAGCGCAGAAACTTCGCTTAGATGATTCGGATTCGAATGTGTATCATTCAGTCATTAGTTCTGTTTACATACAATACATCCTATATTACAGGTGTAGGTTTACATAGTGAGTTTCAGGATTGCCATAATAACAAATCCTCCAGTTAACCAATTTACATCAGGTGTGGTTTGAATAATATTACACTAATTGAATATTTACGCTATTGACATGATGTAAATCGAAATCGTTTACATAACGATTTGCAGGATATATACTGTGAACAATGCATTTATTCTTTGTTTGATTATATCAAAGGCGGCCCAAGTAAGGAAAGAAGGAATTCAGTGAGAGTGCTAAATGTAAATTAAATATTAATTAAACCTACTTAGATTTCAAAATTTATTTAGGTTTCAAAAGGTTATTGTTCTTTCCCTTCTTGTTAATGTTATTTAATTTTAGGACAATAATTTTCTCAGAATACTTTGTGAAAAAGAGTATTATAGAGCTACTAATTAAAATTAAACCTAATGAATCTACGGGCAGTAAAAGATATTTGAAAAATAAGGTGTTGTACACTTTTTATGTTACGAGGGTGAGTCATTTGTAAAGCGCCCTCAATTCTTGCTTGTATCAACCGTCAGAAGGGCGTTGTTTACAATACACCGCGTATAGTAAGCTGCAAGATGGAGATATTAGACCAGTGTGGCATCGAAAGCTTTTAACTCAGTCATGTAGGAACCAAATCAATATTTCCACCTCTCTAGGAACTTTGCCACCGATTGTCTCCCGTTCCCGTAAACCAAGTTTTTGGTTTCAATCTGGAAACTATCATTTTACTAGAAACAGTGAAGCTCTCCATTACAAACTCGTTTCCTGCACACATTCGCATCAAAAATCTCCAACTTATCACTAAAAAGGTATGATCGATTGCGCCATGCGCTAAAAGCAATTGTATTAATTTAATCCGATATATTTATACAGTGCTATTGATTTAGAAGTAGACATAGGGATTTCCTATGTGTAGTTTTAAATGACAAAAGCTCTGATGAAGGACGCCTAATTTTATGCAACTAAAATAACTTCTTAAAAAAAACAAATGAATATTTTGCTGCCATATTAATGAATTGGAATATTATTGCTTTGGCTTCCGTATTTTTATTTTCGTTCGTGTGCGTTATATTCAACTGAAGGAAAAGTTGATATTGTCATTATAGTGTAAGAGACTTATTTTCTGTGTTGATCACTTTAAAATTAGTGGTTATGGAAATGGGATCCACATAAGACATCATAAACTACAATAATTTTAACGAAGTATATGATTCTGAATGTTCAACGATCAAAACTTTTTACAAATTAAACTTATAACAAAATAAAACTTTAAAATCCACATTATCCATTTCTCATCTCTTCCCATCTCATCCAGCACCTCACTCCTACTTTTCCCTCTCAGTTTTACTTCCGTACAGTTCCATAAGATATGTTCTATGCCTTCTTCTTCTTCTCGGGGTATTCTACATTTTCTTTCTTCTTCCTGTTTCCATCTTTCCCTCTCTTTTCATTTCCGCATTTGAGTTTCGCTATTATTTTAATATTTTTTCACCCTTCCCACAGAGTTTCGCATAAACCATAGTGCGTTAAAGACGATGCGAATGCCCGAGATCTGGCAACGTGTCAGTATATTCTTGCTGGTGACATGTGGCAATAAGAATGTCAGAATTCCGAGAAAGGAGAACATGTGTCATCGGCATACATGGCGATGGTGAAGTTGATTGGTTCAGGTATGTCACACATACAGACGTTAAATAATTGTGGACCAATGATGAAACCCTGTGGTACGGCTGCAATGGATCCTTTTTCGGACAGTTCTGTTGATTCGTACGGAGAACTCCTCCACCTCGGCCCTGTCTTAATACTTTTTTCATGACTCTTAAGTAGAGATTAAATAAGGTTGGGCTAAGTGGGAAACCCTGTCTTAGTCCTTTACATTTCCAAAACACTTCATACTAGTTCCTTTCTATTTTTACTCTCAATCTTGTCCGGCCCCTCCATATAGAACCTGGTTAGTCCCTGTCTTTTCAATTCCATTTCCGCCAATCTGAGTAATACATACATTCAGTCGATTGTGCCCCGCCCCCCCCCCCTTCCTTTTCTGAAGTGCATATGTGTTTCCTCCAACATTCTCTTCTCTTTCATTTCTCTCTCTAGTCTCCCCTCCCCTTCAATTATTGGTTTCCACGGTTTAATACTGTTATTTTTATATAATTCCACACTTCCTCTGTATTCCCTCCTATTTCTTCTCCTTGTCCCTCTAGTCTCCCTCTATATAGCTCCCGCGTGCCTCTTTTTTATAACTGTATCCCCTCGTCTTTGCGTCTTTAAATTATCGATCTTATCTTTCATCTTAGACTCAATTCCATTGGTTAGTGATCCCATTTTTTCTTTGTTACCTACCTTAAATTCGTATATTTCTTCCAGTATTTTTTATTTAGTATTGTGTAATCAATTAGCGACCTCCCTCCCCATGCATGTAAATTGCCTGTCCCTATCTCCCTCCATATTTCCGTTTTAAATTTTCCAGCCTCTCTTTTATAATAATTCCAATAACACTTCTCCCTCGTTATTGCACTCTTTATTTCTTGATTTTTTTACATTAAATCACTCCTCCCAATAATAGCCCCTCCTCCCTTTCATTTACTAAATTACCTATTTGATTTTTTAAGTCCACTTCTAGTCGTCTGACCTGTATTCCTTCTTCCACTTTCGTTTCCTCCTCCATTCCCCTTTTTCGACCTCCTTTTCCTCTTCTCTTTAGACTATCCCTCTTCGCAAATTGGTTCTTCCATACGCATTCATTCGGAATCTTGTTTTGTTATTTTCTCCCATTCTATTCTTTCTATCCATGATTCCAATATCATTTTCATGTTGCCCTTAGCCATTTTAATCACGCGAGGATAACAATATGCACTAAACAATTTTGAACCTCCTTACTTTAGTCCCCTCGCTTCCGATTGCCGGATTATTCAGTAACAACCACTACACACAAAAAGTTGGAGATAACGGCTTAATATAGGCTTTTGAGTGTACTCTTTCCGATTTTAATTTGGTTTTTAAATACCTTCCCCCAAGAAGGGTTCGCGAGTTTTACATAAATTCAGAAAAAGCATACCTATCCTTTGGCTATAGGTACCACTCATTTTGTTTACATATTGTTATGCGGACGTTTTTATTGGTATCGGCCCCCGTAGCAATGAAAGGTCTCCTTGTATAAGTTAAATTTCAATTTTTTAAGATTAAATGTGGTTTTTAATTTGGATTAAACACAAATTCGATCATATTTGAACTTTACGTAATTGTTGTTCTGTATTAGAACTATTAGAAGCTTAATTTTTGTTTATATAATCGCCTTGTATTTTTATTGATTTATCGTTCAGTTACATTACATTAGGGAAGATTAGGGAGATCTGGGGGTCCCAAAAGGCTTAAGTAAAATCTTGTGGAGAATTTTTTTGTGGGAGAGTAAGGTTTAATTGAGCTACCTAAACAGGTGTTTATGTGGTTGGTCTAGTGACCGTTTCCCATTGCACATAATAATTGGTACATTTTGTTCTGAATCTCCTTTCCCTGTAAATAACAAGACACTAGGAGCGGCCTTTTAAACTCAACAAATAACTAAGTAAAAATTTGAATACTGAAAAGAACAGCGATTCAGAGCTTTCCCATATTTTGAAATTGTAATGATGAATAATAAAACGTATTTTATCAATGGAAGTACGGAAGACTTAAATGGCTCTTTAAGCATTGCCAACTAATTATGTAAATTCAAAAGCTAAAATAATACCTACATCATGGGATTTAACAATAAAGAAAATCAAATAACGAGCGCAAGAAAACGGTTAAGTTTGCATACCCAACGAAAGCGTCTTCGGAAACACCACAAAAGCTCGTTATGTTGCGATCCGGGGATCAAACAATTAAATCTGAATATGAATGGTTATGATACTAAGAGCTTCTTACTCCATAAAATCTCGACAAATATTAAAGATCTACTGTATATGTCGAAATGCAACGTTTAAAATCAAAGGATCGGGCTTTCAGTTGAGGACCGTTCTGACGGAATATTTAAGATGACAAACTAAGTTTCTAGAACTTTCGAAGCAATGAAGTACTCCAGCACTAAATATTACATGACTTGAAATATAAGTTTCAGTAGATCAAGATATCACTGTATGTGTGGGTTGACAAGTTATGTGATGTGCAGCTTTACAGCTTTCTATAAGCATGCTGCAATTCATTTCAAGTGCTGTACATAAAATGATAACACGTTTGAAAAGCCTGTTTTTGTATTAAGTTGTGTAATTTCAATAAGACATTAAATGCACACCAAAATAGGTTGGCATTAAGGAACAGAGTAGGCGAATAGTTTAAAATAAGAACATAGTTTTCTCATATCATGTTGTAAATAAAGTTCGTCGGGTAAATAAGCCCAGAAGTATATTGGTTGTAATAGTTTCTAGGCATGTTTACCTTACACCTTGAACCTAGTCACTTGCGGGTGTTCTAGAGACGATGGTCAGTAACATAAACTAAGCCCGTGACCTACCCTACTATAGTTTTTAGTAGGCGGTGGCGGCCAGCGTATAGTTTCAGATACTACTTGCAAGTGCCATTAATAAAACAATAATATTCTTAGACAATAGTAGCACAAGCGACACGTTTTCATATTTGCGTCTTGTCGCCGCCGTAAGAAATAGTGCATGAGAACTTCCTTCCTAAGATAATTTCAAAATTGTTTAGGTAATCAGCGAATGTTGCTTCGCATAAAAACGTCACAGAATTGACGCTAATCTCGACTTCAAGCGAATATTCTCTCATGTATAAAATGTACTAAACCCCCGAAAAATTACCGCCATGAATATTCGCTTATCAATTAATCTTTTGTTGTTTACACTGCAGGGGGTGTCGTTTCCTCAGGTTGAAACAATGCCGAAGATGGAAGCGAGTCATTCCGTAGTTAAAAAAATTTACGTGTTCCGGTTTACGCATTGGAAATGGACATCTTGTATGTAAAATGTTTCAACTTATTCGATAGGATCTGGGGGAATTTCTTGAATATTGACACAAAATTGGAAAAAGTTTTCCTTCTAATTTTAGTTAATTGTAAATTTAGTTAGTAATGGTTCAATTACTTTAAAGCTATTTCGTATCTAAAACGCATAAATGTATAACTAAAAAAAGGTCTTATCGGACAAAAGGTTGATTGATGCTTGATAACAATACCACGTGTAAGATAAGAAACGCATGTGTGTACCGGGAAACTACGATATGGAACTGATAAATGGAGGTGGTTGATTTTTTAAATACGAAAATTGGGGAAATAAACTGTCGAGCCTAAGACAGTTGGCTCTTCTTTTCAGGTCGCTTGTAAAAGAATGTGTCATTGTTGCGTTAAATTTGACGGAAAATAAAGAAATTGAAGTTTTTATACTTGAAGTTTTACGCATGCGGTTCAGCTGTTTATAGGACAAAGTCGTTGTCCAGTTTTGATAAAGTAACAAAGTGTCTAAAGTGTTAATTAAAAATCTTATCACCAGATCAGCCATTTAGAATTAATGTATTACCCCAATTATGTGTCAAACAAATGTTTTAAGAGCTGTCAACGCTGTGTGAAGTGTTTGGATTGTCGTCCATCGTTCATCGTATTTTCGTATTGACTAATTTGCGAGTACTTATCTTTTCTTGAGATCTATTGAATTGTTCGTTTTTATTTGTTCGTATTGTATATTTTCAAAAAGGCATTGTTAGTCTTAAAATTTTCTTACAGGTTTTTATATTTGATTTTTTTTCATGATGTATCTTAGAACACATTCTTGTATTTTCCTGTTAATAAACAATTGGGTGTCAGTTTTAATCCCCACTAGAGGTCCAGGTATAGTTTCCAATTTCCCTCTGTCAGATTTCACTAATTTCTTTGAATCCGAGTCAATTTCAAGTCAAAATATGAGTGATTTCATTGGAATTTACGGATTTTGGTTGAAGCCTTCGTAATTTTCATTTATAAAAGTTGTAAGGCAATGTGTGAATTTTTGTGTGTGACAGAATCCATGTCTTGCTCTGAGAGGGAACGTTACAAGAGAGAAGTGTGTGGGTGATATTTTTTGATCGCATACGCACAGTATTTTTGGCGCCCAACGCAAAACGAATCAACTACTAAGAAAACTAAAACTTATTGTTCCTTCAGTATTTTCTAAAATCATCCTCCCCTTCCAGCACTACGCTCCTGCTTTCCCTTGTACTTTCCACCTCCCATAGCATTTGGTGTATGACGCCCTCTTTGTCTCCACAAATTCTACATTTCTTTCATCCCATTTTCCCCACTCCTGCTTTCCCTGATATTTTCCACCTCCCATAGCATTTGTTGTATGACGCCCTCTTTGTCTCCACAAAGTCTACATTCCTTTCATCCCATTTTCCCCATTTCCCCTTATTCTTTCGACCACAGCTAATCAGTATCCATTTCTTTCATAATATTCTTTTCTTTACTTCCCCAATTTCTTCTGTTCTAATATGAAATTTGGTGTCTTTCCGTTTAGACCCACTACCCATTATTTGTGATACCTTCTTGATGTTCATTCACATTACTTCCACCTCCATATCTCTTTCCCTCTCACAAATGCATAAACAAGTTGTTTTCTGATTCTAAATTCGTTTTTGAATCTCCTATCCTAACGCTCAATCCGACGAAGCACATTTTCATCTGTCGGGCCAAGTCAATCGGCGCACAAATCGATTTCTGGGATTTGCCAGGCCCGATTTGATTCAAGAAGTTCCTTTAGTGCAAAGGTGAGGTGTGAAGTTTCGGGACATGGGGTCATTGGTCCGTACTGTATTAAAGATTATATTTTACAAGTTCTAAGGCCGTTCACGGGTAGGTTACATTGTTACGTGTTTGTTTTTCTTTGTTTTTTAGGGATTTAAATTTTCTCACCCATTGCTTACAATTTTCTATCAAAGTTCTCATCGTTCTTTCTTTTGGATTACCTTTTACGTTGATCTAGCAGGATACGTGTACGACCCAGGCACTATGTGGATGATATAGTATTTTTATTTGGACCGGCCATCTTATTACGCGATAGATGGAGTTTCTACCTTACCGGATTCTGTGAAATTAATCCCGTAATATCGCCATAATAATAATAATAATTTGAAGTTATACCGAGACTTTGTCCGAAACCGAGATCTACGATTCTTAGCAACGCTACTTGTATTACTGCGAAGAATCGGCTCATAATTATTACATTGATTGTATCAATCGAAATTTAGTGCATTGTAGAGTACTTTTCTTGAAGTTTGCGTCACGTTTATGCTTCTATACGGATTTATGTAAGGACAATCGTATCCGATCAAAATTTTGCTTTTGCTAGTATTAAGTCTTTCGAATTATTGATTCTTTTTGATTATTGATTACAGTTCTAGTATCAGATTTGCCTCCGTGTCAGACGTTAGCATTGCTGTTTCGCGATATTTTATGTGCCGCGCGATTCACTACCACTTTTTTTTTGTATTATTGTCTGTTACAAATTAGGCATAACGCGTCCTTGTCGACTTTTCGACTTTTTTTATATTTTCTCTGGCAGCGTGTTGATCCCTTTTTACTGAATATCAATTGAAATTCAAACATTGACATTACTGATCTATATATCTATATATATCTTATTTGTAATATTTTTGAGATCATTCATTAAATTGCCCTCGATTGTGACGTCAATGATTATGTTA